GGGTCGCTATGAGTCTGTTCCGACTCGATGGCACCTGACAACAACTACTAAAAATATTAGATCGGACACTTAGGGGGCAGTGAATTTTTGAGGGAGAAATTATTTGAAAAAGGAGTGAGAATGGTTAAGAATTGAATACTTGAAGAATGTGATCAATGTCACTGGATGGTACATGTAGAAACTGTTGAATTAGTGTATGTCCTGCTGTGTGTATTTTCAGCAGCAACTAAAATAAAACAAATTATTTAAAAATAAAGTAATTTGTCAATCCCTGACTTATTGAGTTGCTATGAGGCATAGTATGGTGCTGTGGGTTAATGCACTGGACTGCAAGGTCGGTTTGAACCTTAAGGTTGGTGGTTCAAGCTCACCAACTGCTCTTCGGAAACCCTATACAGGGTCACTATGAGTTGGAACCAACTCAATGGCACTTAACAACAATAATAATGAGTTGAAATAGAGTTGGTGGTGGTGCATTTGGTTTGGTGACTTATAAAGGAGTTCTGGTAGCATAGTGTTTACGAATTGGGCTGCTAACCACAAGGTAGGCAGTTCGAAACTACCAGCTGTTCCATGGGAAAAAGATGAGGTGTTCTGCTCCCATAAAGATTTACAGCCGCGGAAACCCTGTGCAGGATCACTATGAGTCAGAACCAACTCCATGGTACTTAACAACTACAAGGTCGGCAATAGCTTACTCTCCAGTTGTAGTGTTAAAGCCTTTTACTATATTAAAGAAACCCCTTTATATGTTTGGCTCTTGGCTCTCAGTACTAAAGAAACAAGAACATTTTTCCCAGCTCAGCAAGATCTTCACTGTGTTTCCCGTGACAATCAGGAGATGAGAGTGTTTGCAATGGTTAACTGTGAATGTGAAGCGTCCACTGGCAACAATGAAATGACGATTATAAATCCACTGTTGTTTTCAGTCATCCTGGTTAGTATGGTTTCTTTGAGGTGAGGGACAGGAGCCGTAGAGCAGGGAGGAGGGAAGAAAGGTATTCTGATGATTCCAGCACCCTTTGGGGTGGAGAAGATCTAAGAATTGAGGTGTAGTAGAAAAGAATAAAAAGTATCTGAAGAACCAGAGGAAATAGAAGCAAGCCTGGCCTTTTCTTCCATTAACCACTCTGGAAATACTGACTTTAATTTGTCTTCAACGTGGGCTTCCCAGCTCACCTGCTACCCACAGTGCTAATGTGGTTATGGTCAGGCAACTGACTGTAAAAACGACAACTTCTCACTCAGCAAAACAGCTCTCTGCAGACCCCCGATTCATATCTGCTCAATTTACTGACAAAAATAAGCTTTTATTGCTGTTGGCAGTATGGAGCCAGAGCGGTCACAGATAGATCTTTGTTGGCTTGTACATTGTCAGCACAAGTGTCAGGAAAACTCCCTGCCCAGGGGCGTTCAGGGGCCTCCAAGTGCCCACGATATGAGGGGCTGACCCAACACTGAGGGCTGGCTATTAGCAGCATCAGCTCTTACTGTGCAGGGGGAGCTCAGCTTCATTCCCACTTAATGACTCCACGTCAGTGTCATTTGTAACCATCACTTATGAGAGTATAATTGCATTGTGAAGTCAAAATGTTAACATCATTAAATGGAAGAAGTTAACCAGAATGGTTTAGAAGCTTAAAGGAAAGGGAAGACTTGGCAACATCTTGGCCATGGCGTAGAGAGTGATCACATTGTTTAAGGAGGCTTTTGGTTTCCCCTATCCCTGAACAGGGTTGTGAATTCAAGGATGAGGAACAGAGCCTGCAGAACTGGTTGTACACAGTCTGGGAAGAGCAACTCAGAAAGGTTCCAACCTTTGTCAAATGGTCAGCATTGTATGAGGTTTTCCGAACAGCCACAATACAGAGAGAAGGCTTTGAACTGAATACTGACCTGGTCTGTGTGTGACCTTGGACAGATTACCTCACCTGCCGAATCCCTACCTAGTGGGATATGGAGCAATAATCAACATCATGCAAATGAAGAAAAGACAGAAGTTGTCAATGGTTTCAATCTACTTGGGTCAGTTAAGAAATCAGATGACAGGTTTCAAGGCACTTTGTGGACTAAAGGTACGTCTGACACAGCTATGGTCTTTTTTATCACCTCATATGTATGCAAAGACTCAACAATGAAAAACTAGGCAGAAGAATTGATAGCAATGGAAACTGAATATCGCACGGACTGACAGAAGAAGGAAGAAATCAGTCTTCGAATACAACCAGTCTACTCCTTAGAAAGGAGCTCTGGTAGCATAGTGGTTATGAGTCAGGCTGCTAACCTAAAGGTCAGCAGTTCGAAACTACCAGCCATTCCATGGGAGAAAGATGAAATTTTCTGCTCCAGTGAAGATTTACAGCCTTAGAAACTCTCTGCAGGGTCACCAAGAGTCGGAACCGACTCCACAGCACATAACCAACACTCCTTAGGAGGGTGGTGAGACTTTGGCTTGCTGACTTTGGAAATGCCATCAGGAAAGACCAATCCCCAGAAAATGACATCACTGTTGGTAAAGTACAGAGTCAATGAAATGAGAGACGGTTTCAATGAGATGGACTGAAACTACAGTCACAACAATGGACTAAACAAATCAGCGTATCATCCAGCTGACGAAGGGCCGGGCAACAATCGGTTTTGTTGTATGTAAGGTTGTCATGAGTCGGGGCCCACTCAACAGCAACTAGCAACAACACTGATGTTGTTGCTGTGAAGTGCTGTCAAATGGTTCTAACTCAGAGCGAACTTGTATAGGGTTTCTGAGAAACAGCTGGTGGGGTTGAACCTTGTGGTTAGCAGTCCAGTGATTATCTTATAGCTTCCACACCAAGACTCCAAGCAACAACACAGTGGGATAATAATCATGTTTACCTATGAGAGTTGTTGTGAGGCTTTAAGGAGATATGCGCCTGGAACATCGTATGAATTTAATGGGTGTTACCTATGATGAGGAGGAAGAAAATCAGGCAAAGGAACAAGGAAACAGTCTGGCACCTCTCAACTGCATTTGAGCCTGTGGGTTGTTCTTCAGATGAACGAGGCCTAAGTCATATGGCACTGAGACTAAAGGGCACCACGGCACTGCTAGCCTTGGCATAACCTTCCTTTCGAGAAAGGAAAGATCAGTATCTCATGGAGGTGGGGATGGAGGAGAGAAGGGTGAGGAAGATGTGCAGGAATGATCACCTGAGTGCTTGGTGCCAATGTGAGCCTTTATCTCTGCTTCCTCCATGGTGACAAAGTCGCAGGCAGTGCAACAGATGGAAAACATCCATTGCTCCTTGTCCACGTGGAGCGACATGTGGCTGACAAACTGGACATTGAGTTCAGTCTCAAATCCACATACATGGCAACTAGAGGAAAGAATTAAAGAAAGGGGGGGGGGGCAGAGAAGAATCACATGTACTTCAAATGTAGGTTACCCACTTACATATAGTACACTCAGAAAACTAGAGTTGTACAAACCTGTATCTCTGTACCAAAAGGCTTTACCGTAGAAAATTCTGCTCGCTGGTATGCCTTAGAAGTGGTCACCATGCCAAAGAGATTAAGTGCCAGCATAATGTAACAATCCCATACATGCTATAATGATGCTAAATAATCATAAAGCTAATTAAAAACTACAGAATCCAGATGCTGCACATCACCTAACTGATTCCTTTGGGCAAAGGGATGCAGTACAGCCTTGCCAAAATATTTAACAGTGCCGGCACACTGACAAACCCGGAGCACTTCACACACCCCAAGAGCCTCTCTCTGGCTCTGGAATCCTTCCCATGTAGGAACGGAAGAACACAAGGTCGTCGTATGGTATTCTGAGCCAGAGCCAGCCGGACCTGTGACAATTCCTGATAGAAGCCACCCTTCCATAGAGACACTGTATGTAAAAACAAGTTTCCACTACAGCTTAGTGATTACGAGTTGGGCTGTTAACCTCAAGGTCAGCAGTTCAAAACTACTAGCCGTTCCATGGGAGAAAGATGAGGCGTTCTGCTCCTGTAAAGATTTACAGCCTCAGAAACCCTATACGGGGTCGCTATGAGTTGGAACCGACTCCACAGCACACCACCACCACCTATCTGTAGGATACAGCTCTACGGGCAAGAGTCAGGAGAGAGACTGAAACTTGGGATTTTTAATAATCATATCAAATACTGATGTATAGTTGACAATGGAGTTCCTAAGGAGCCCTGGTGGTACGGTGGTTCGGCACTCGGCAGCTAACTGAAAGGGCAGTGTTTGAACCCATCAGTCACTTCATGGGAGAGGGTGTGGCAGTCTGCTTCCATAAAGAGTTACAGCCTTGGAAATCCTGTGGGACAGTTCTACTCTGTCCTATAGAGCCACTAAGGGTCAGAGTCATTGATTCAACGGCAATGGGTTTGATATGGTTTGGTTATGGGGTCCCTGGGAGGTACGGATGGATTATGTGTTCACTTGCTAACGGAAAGGCTGGAGGCTAGAGTTCATACCGAGGTATCTCGAAAGAAAGACCTGGTGATGTACTTCTGAACGATCAGCCACTGAAAACCCTATGGAATTCTACTCTGATATACACGATGGTGGTGGTTGGTGGTGATGTGCCGTGGAGTTGGAACCGACTCATAGCAACCCTGTACAGGGTTTCCGAGGCTGTAAATCTTTACAGGAGCAGAAAGCCTCATCTTCCTCCCGCGGAACAGCTGGTAGTTTCAAACTGCTGACCTTAAGGTTCGCAGCCTGATTCATAACTTCTACACTACCAGCAGTTGGTAAGTGGGAGAAAGACATAAGATTCCAGGTTTTTGTTGTTAAGTACTGTTGAGTCGGTTCCGACTCAAAGTAACCCTGTATAGGGTTCCCGAGGAGTGGCTGGTGAGTTTGAACCACCGACTTGAAGTTCAAAAAGACCTTTTGGTCCACTACTTATCCTATAGCACTACACCAGGGCTCCTAAAGGTCAACACAACCAAGGCAAAATACGTAATGTCCTCTGGACTTTTTTCTTAGGTTCTAAGATGTATATTCCCTAGTTCTTCCCCTCCCCTCGCCGCCCAACCCTACAAACTCCAGCCCCTATGATTCTTAGGATACAGACAGGTGCTCAGTTACAATGCCTGGGAGTTTCCCAGCTGCACAGACCTCAAATTTAATTATGTCCAGTGCCCCCTCCAAGACTATTTCATTTTCGATTAATTCTACTAGAGCCACCCAAACCAAGAGATGAGTCAGTGCAACTGCAGGCCTCAATGTAAGGGAAGAAATGATTACTTATGACTGAGGAAAGGGCTCTCGTAACGCTTGTCTCTAGCAGGCAGGCAGGCTGGCAGGCAGAGAACATTCAGGCAAGGTGTTTGAGAGATGTGCACTGGAGAGTGCCATCTGCAACTCACCTGTAATAATAAGGGTGCTTCTTTCCGTCACTGCCTTCAGAGGTGACGGCGCTGACAATGTCCTCGGTGTCTGTACTCACCAGCTTTACGGAATGGACGGTCAGGTGCTGGTTCAGATTTGCACGGCACTTAGCAGCATAGGGGCACAAATGGCATTTGTATTTTCTTTCCTCTGGGTGGGGGAGAAAAAACAACAACCAAAACTACTCTCAAAACCAAATTCCCAACACCTTACAAGAGATCACAGAGCGGCATCAAAGAAAAAAAAAGGTTCAAGTTTCACTTCAAAAGTGAAAACAGGTAGCTAATGCCTTTGGATTTTAAGTATCTAAAAGTCTTTAGGATCAGTCTCAGAATTCTTGTCTTCCACCATGGAGAAGACCCAATTTCAATCCCAGGTAGTACATCTCCTAGGTAGTCATTTACCTGTCTCTCAGTGGAAGTTTGCATGTTGCTAAGATGCTCAACTGGACTTCGAACCACAAGGTTGGCAGTTCAAACCCACCAGCTGCTCCTTGGAAACCCTATACAGGGTCGCTATGAGTCAGAACTGACTCTACGGTACTTAACAACAAGATCCTCAACAGGTTTCAGTAGAGCTTCCAGAGTAAGACACACTAGGAAGAAAGACTTGGAGATCTACTTTTGAAAATCAGCCAATGAAAACCCAATGGATCACAATGGGATCATCAATGGCAGCTAGCTACCAACAACAAAGTCTTTACCCAGGAGCTTTCTTCTGTATCAATACTTCCAAAGGTAAAACAAATCTCCAAGGTAACTCGATCATCAGCTTTTGTCTGATAAGGACAGCGTGCTTGGTAAAGTAGAGGTGTTGGTGAAAAAGAGGAAGACCCTTAAAGAAATGGATTCAAACAGTGGCTGCAACAGTGGGCTTCACTGCAGTAATAACTGTGAGGATGGAGCAGGTGAGGCTGTGTTTTGTTCTGTTGTGCACAGTGTTGCTATTAGTCAGAACTGACTCAATGGCACCTAATAACAACCATACAGAGGCTGAAAGAACATTGTGTGTGTGTGTAAGTGTGGGCACATGTGCCGACAGGTACCAGCTGTGATGGGGCTGAAACAGCTCCTGAGCATATGAGGGGGAACTGAAACAGCATCACTCACAGCACTGGTATATAAGACAGGGCTCTCCATTTTCCCTAAGCTCCAGGCCTGGGTCAGCCAAGAAATTAAAAACTAATGAAATTAAAGAAAAAAATATATGACTCATGTGAAATAATTTAATTGGAAATTTTCATTTTAAATAAATAAACGAAAAAATGCCAATTAATTTCTTAATGGAAACCCTCTCATAAAACTGATGAATGTTTGCAGGATCATTTCCAGAGTAGCATTCTGAATTCATTTGATTAATCAAGCAAATTACAGTAAAAGGAGCAGGCTTTGCTTTCAATGCACAGATATACAGGCTAACAGGGGCAGACAAAGGGAGGAAAAAAAAACCCAACTTCATTTTCTCTCATGTCTTATACTTTGTGTTGTGTGGATTAAAGAAACTACCTGCCTTATCTACTTCACAGGGATATCAAGAAGAACACATAAAAATAAACTCCTCTCCAAGAAAATATACAGCATCATTTTTATTGCATGTGGTCCCCAATGATTGCAATGTTTTGGTCTGCAACTCCATAGGGCTAAGAGAGAAGTCCTTAGAGTGCAAAGAAAACAGCACTTTGTTTCGAACTTTTGCATTTTTATTAATAATTAGGAAATCCCTGAATGGTGCGATTGGTTAACTGCTTGGTTGCTAATCAAAATGTTGGAAGTTCAGATTACACAGAAGTGTCTTGGAAGAAATGCCTGGTGATCTACTTCTGAAAAATCAGCCACTGAAAGCATTCTACAATGACATGACTGGGGTCACCAGGAGTCAAAACTGACTCCTGGGTAAAAACTGGCATTTGGAAAATCAATTAATTTGAGATTGTTAAATTTTGGTACTAAGCTTACGCTTCCTTCATAAAGTGAATTGTTGAGTTTGCCATCTTTTCTATCATTTAGAAAGCTTTGTTGTGGTAGCTGTTAAGTGCCTAACTCATAGCAACCCTGTCTAGGGTTTCTGATGAGCAGCTGGTTGACTTATCCTACAGCGCCACACCAGGACACCTTAGAATGGTTTAAAGAATATTAACTGTCCTCAAAAGATCAGAAAGAATTCACCTGGGATAGGTACTGGAATTAATGCCTTTATTAACAGTATTTCCTTCGTCATATTTCCAACTTTCCCTTATAAGTAATTTATTTAAAAATATTTCCTTCAAGTCAATTTTTGTAACTTTTAAAATTTTCTGATTTTTTTTTTCTTGCCACAGAGTTAGCCTTTGGTTGACTGTGTGATGTTGAGTCAGTTTCGACTCATAACGACGCTTCATAGGGTTTCTGAGGCTCTAAATTTCTACAGGTGCAGACATAGCCTCATCTTTCTCCTGTGGAGCAACTCGTATATTCGAACTGCTGACCTTGCAGTTAGCGGCCCAGTTCATAATCTACTATGCTACCAGGGCTCCTAAGAATTACCATGTGTTGTTGTTGTTGTTGTGAAGTGCCATTGAGTTGGTTCCAACCCATAGTGACCCTATAAAGGGTTTCTGAGGAGCAGCTGGTGAGCTTGAACCGCCGAATTTGCAGTTAAACAGCTTTGCAGTCTGGTGCATTAGCCCACAGCGTCACACCAGGACCCTGTTATAGTCTTATAATTCTTCAGAGGAGCCCTGGCGGTACGGTGGTTACATGCATGGATGCTAACCAAAATGTCAGTGGTTTGAACCCTCCAGCCACTCCATAAGAGAATGATGTGGCTGTGTTCTTCAGTAAAGATCACAGCCTTGAGGACCCTATGCACCAGTTCTACTTTGTCCTAGAAGGTTGCTATGAGTTGGAATTGACTTGATGACATAGGTTTGGTTTGATATTTTTGGGTTTATAAATGATGATGATTAGGTTTTCTTGCTCATTCATAATCTGAATATTTTGCTGACTTTTCCTGCCTTAGTACGCTTAAAGGGAGCTATGTTATGGCCTTGTGTCTTCTTAGATTCTTTTGTTATTCTTTTACTGATTCTTTAAGAAGAGCGCTAAGTTCCTTTATTTTAGTCTTTCTTATCTTCACTTAAAATATTTGCGTGTACACAGATCCCTCTGACTAGAATGGCAGGTGCTTCCTCCAGATTTAGTGGTTTCCTTTTCTTTCCTTCCTTATGTTTTTGAGTTTTGATTTTTTTTTTCCAGTTTGATCTAACTTGGTACATACATCTTCAGTGTAAAACTTAGCATATTTGATTTAAATTATTCCCATCGTGCTTTATGTTTAACATCGACTTTACCTCTTTCTTTTTTTTCGTCTTCACATACCTTGATTAAGCTACTATAGGCATATCTGGGGGATATTGTGGTTTGGGTTCTAATACACCTGAACAAACTGAGTGTTGCAATAAAGGGAGTCACACAAGTTTTTTGGTTTCCAAGTGGATATAGAAGTTATGCTTATACATTATACTGTAATCTAGTAAGTGTGCCATGTTGGTGTTGATGGGTGTCTTCGACTCATAGCAACACTATGCATGACAGAATGAAACAATGCCTAGTTCTGGGCCAGTCTCACAATGAATACTTTTTGAGCTCAGTGTTGCTGCCACTGTGTCAATCCACCACATTGGGAGGTCTTCCTTTTCTTTGACCCGCTTTACCAAGCATGATGTCCTTTTCCAGAGACTGATCCCTCCTGATAAACTGCCCAAAGCATAAGAGACTAAGTCTCACCATCCTGGATTCTAAGAATTCTTCTCCCCAAGACAAATTTGTTTGTTCTTCTGGCCCTCCATGGTACTTTAAATATTCTTTTTTCAACACCATAATTAAAATACATCAATTCATCTCTGATTTTCATTATTTATTGTCCAATTTTCACATGCATATGAGGTGATTGAAAATGCCATGGTTTGGGTGAAGCACACCCTGGTTTTCAAACTGACATCTTTGCTCTTTAAAATTTTACGAAGTCTTTTGCAGTATATTTGCCCGTTATAGTACATTGTTAGATTTCTTGGCTACTGCTTCCATGAGCATTGATTGTGGATCCAAATAAAAGGAAATTCTTGACTTCAATATTTTCTCTGTATATCATGTTATTTTAAGGCGCTCTGGTAGCGCAGTGGTTACGAATTGGGCTGTGAACCGCAAGGTCAGAAGTTCGAAACTACCAGCTGCTCCGCGGGAGAAAGATGAGGCCTTCTGCTCCCGTAAAGATTTACAGCCTCGGAAACCCTGTTCAGGGTTGCTATGGGTCGGAACCGACTCGACGGCACTTAACAACAAATCATGTTATTTACTGGTCTAGTTATGAGGAGTTTTGTGTTCTTTACATTGAGTTGTAATCCATGCTGAAGGCTGCACTGTTTGATATTCATCAGCTAGTGTGTCTAATTCTCTTGATCTACATGCACAAGTTCTGTATGAGCACAAGTAAGTGTTTTGGAATTCATACTCTTACAATGTTATCCAGAATTTGTTATGTCAAATCAGTAAAGCACAAATAAACATCTTCCTGGTATCCTCTGCTTCAGTCAAGATACATCTGACATCAACAGTCTTCTGAATCCAGCTTGAGTTTCTGGCAGCGACGTGTTGATGTACTGCTGCAACCGTTTCGATGTTTCTGGTATTGTCTACTATTGTGTCCTTAGAACTCGTCAATACTGCAAGCTGAGGCTTGAATTTTTTCTTCAGTTCTTTCAACTTGAGAAATGCTCAGCATGTTCTTACCTTGAGGTTTTTTAACTCTAAGCTTTTGCAAATTCCATTATAATACTTTACTTCATATTCTTGAGCTATCTTTTGAAATTTTCTGCTCAGCTCTTATACATCATTATTTCTCCCATTAGATTTTTCTACTCTACATGGAAGAGCAAATTTCAAAGTCGCTTCTGACATCCCATTTGGTCTTTTCTTTCTTTCCCATCTTTTAAATGACCTTTTGCTTTCATGTATCTATGTTCTTGATATCATCCCACAACTCATCTTCAGTTATTCACATTCAATGAATCAAATATGTTTTTGAGATGGTCTCTAAATTCAGGTGGGGCATACTTAAGGTTGGAGTCCTGGTGTGGTGCTGCTGGACTGAAAAGTTGGCTTGAATCTCCAGATGCTCCTTGGAAACCCTATACAGGGTTGCTATGAGTCGGAATTGACTTGACAGCACTTAGCAACAATAATGGCATACTTAAGGTTAAGGAGCCCTGGTAACATAGTGGGTGACGCGTTAGGCTGCTGACCACAAGATCAGCAGTCTAAACACGTCCTCCAGAGAAAGATGAGGCTCTGTGCTCCCGTAAAGATTTACAGCCTCAGAAACCCTATACAGGATTACTACGAGCCAGCACTGGAACGATGACACACAGCAGTAGCATATTTAAAGTTAATGAGCCCTGGTGGCATTGTAGGATAAGCACTGAACTGCTAACCTCAAGGTCAGCTTTTTAAGCCCACCAGTCACTCCACAGGAGAAAGATGAGGCTTTCTGCTCCAGTAAAGATTTATTGTTGTTAAGTACCGTCGAGTTGGTTCTGACCCATAGTGACCCTGAACAGGGTTTCCAAGGCTATAAATCTTTACTGGAGCAGAAATCCTCATCTTTCTCCCACGGAGCAGCTGGTAGTTTTGAACTGCTGACCTTCCAGTTTGCAGCCCAATTCGTAACCACTAGGCTACCAGAGCTCCTCTGTAAAGACTTATAGCCTCAGAAACCTTATTTGGGTTTATTACGCATTGGAATCAACTCAATGGCAGTGGGGTTGGCTCTCATGGTCTTATTTTAATTTTCTGCAACTTCAGCCTGAACTGGGAATTTAACAGTCTGTTCCACAGTTCCACAGGGAATTTAACAGTCTGGTTGTTGATTTTGAGCTTCTCCATCATCTCTTCCCACAGATGTAGTCAATTTGATTCCCTGTGCATCCCATCTGGTGAAGTCCACATTTATATTGTTGGAAACAGTATTTGCAATGAGGAAGACACTGTCTCGTGGAATTACATCATGTGATCTCCAGTGTCATATTTCTGTCACCAGGGCCACCTTTTCCAATAACTGATCCTTCGTTTCTGTTTCCAACTTTCACATTCCAATCACTAGTAATTATCAAAGTATCTTGGTTAATTTCAGATTGAAGAAGTTGGTAGAATTCTTCACTTTTTTCAACATTGACTTTGGTGGTTGGTGTGTAAATTTATAATAATCTTATGAACTAGTGTTCCTACCAGGCGTATAGATATTATCCTATCACAGATTGCATTGCATTTTAAGACAGATCTTGAAATACTCTTTTTGATGAAGAACGTGACAACATTCCTTTTCAATCTGTCATTCCTGTATAGTGGACCATATGATTGACAGATTCAAAATGGCCCATACCAGTCCATTTTAGCTCACCAAAGTTTAGGATATTGATCATTACGCATTCCATTTCATTTTTGCCAACTTCCAAATTTTCTAGATTCATACTGCCTATTTACCACTTTCCAATTATTAATGGTGTTAAGAGCGGTTTCTTCTCATTTTGAGTTGTGCCCTGCTACCAAATGAAGGCCCTGAAAACATTTTTGAGGGGCTTATCTTCTGACACTATATCTGACAATGTTCTGCTGCTGTTCTTAAGGTGTTCAGGTGCTAATTCTTCAGAAGTGGACCACCTATCCCCTCTTCCTAGTCTTTTCTCCTTCTGTAAGCTCCCTGAAACCTGTCCACCAAGGGTGATCCTGCTGATAATTTAAACACCAGTGGCATAGCTTCCAGCATTACAGTAACAGGCAAGCCACCACAGCACAGCAAACTGACAGGTATGTGGGGAGTGTGCCACAGCATTATGAAGCAGTCTGAAATAATGTGAGAAGTAACAAAAAGTGATGAAGAAACATGAAATGAGCACATGCTGTCAGAAAAATGGTGCTGATAGACACAGGGTTGACAAACTTTCAATGTAAACAGCGGAGTGTCTAAGAAGTGTAAAGAAGTGAGTAATAAAGTGAAGAGCAGTAAAACACATTTTCTTCTTCTTTGTTGTTGTTGCTAGTTGCCAATGAGCTAACTGCATGCAACTCATGGAGACACTGTGTGCACAAAGTAGAACACAGGGTTTGCAAGGCTGTGACCTTTCAGAAGCAGACTGCCAGACTTGTCTCTGGGTGAGTTCAGCAAACCCATGGGTCTAATAGCTGAGCACTTAACTGTTTGCACCATCATGGACTCTATTTCTCCTTTTCACCCTTTCAGAACTTGGTTGCTTTCCCTTCCCAGTACTCAGAATCAAACACAGTCCTCTAGTTTGACAACTACATAAACATAGCAACTGATTCTCCACTAAGGCGTTCTTGCCCTTCAATGCTACCACACACAACAATGACATAAAGCCAGCAGGGTAGGCTGTAGCCCTCTCTTCCGCACCTACCATGATGAACTGCTTACAGTTCTGGTTATATCTTTTTTTTTTTATTTTAATTTTTAAAACATTTCATTGGGCAGTTTATTTCCTCAAGAACAAAGACTAAAAAGGAAAAAAATATATCAACAGATGTACAATGTTAAACCCAATCTGGTATGGCACTGTACAATAAACACTGGACTGCCAACCACAGAGTTGGTAGTTCAAATCCTATACAGAGTCGCTATGAGTCAGAACCGACTTGATAGCACTTAAAAACACCAACCTTGTGCTTTAGAGAAAAAAAAAAAAAAGAAAGAAAAAGGCTAAACTCATTGCCAACTCATAGTAGCCATATAAAGAAAGAGTAGAACTGCCCCATAGGGTTTCCAAGACTGTAAATCTTTATCTGTCTTCCATGGAGATGCTGGTGGGTTGGAATCAGCAACATTTTGGTTAGCAGTCCCATGTTAACCCACTGTGTCACCAAGTTTCCTCTATCTCCTGATCTTAAAAACAACAATAAAACTCCCCCGACTGCTATGGAGTCATTTTTGACTCATAGCAACCCTATATAAAGTTTCTGAGACTGTAAATCACTGCATCTTCCTTCCATGGAGTGGCTGGTGAGTTCAAACCACGGACCCTGCAGTTAGCAGCATAACGCCTGGCCCATGGCGCCACCACAGCTCCTTCTATCTCCTGATTTGTTGTTGTTAAGTCCTGCCGAATTGGCCCTGTTTAGGGTTTACAGTTCCGGATATATCTTAATGTGTATCTTTTTTCATCAATCCTACTTGGAACTCAAGGAATCCTTTCAATACAAATTTTTAAAAGTCCTCCCAGGGATGTAATTGTACCTAAAGGTCAGAGTGAAAATGTTTCCAACATTTCCTGTTGTAATTCTCTTAGATAAATCCAGCCTCTGGATAACAGTAAGTAGGTGATCCAGAGACGCGAAGGTAAAGCTGCTGACTCACCTGTGTGCAGTGAGAGATGTCGGGACAATGTCTGCTGTCGGCCAAAGACTTTCCCACACACATCACAGGGAAAAAGCTGGTCATTGAATTTCCAGGATGGCAATCCATTTCCTGCTTCTAGTACTATTTTTTCTGTGTCTGGGCCAAAAGAACAAAACAGCATGAAGCATAAACAAGGCAGTATGGACACATTTCATTAAAGTAAAATTTCAGGATTTCTGAAACAATGTGTCTGGTAACTAGAACTGCAAATCAGTCCCATTCACCTCTGGTCTTTTGCTCATTTCCTGTCTCTAAGAAGGCCATTCTTGGAACTTTGTGGTGGCAAATTGATTCTAATTCTAGACAAGTCTCCACTTTTTTTCTCTCCCTTTCATGACTATACATCAGTTGACCCAGCCCTCTACTAGGCTGACAGCTCGATTTAGCACCATGCTAACTGGGATAAATGGTTGAATTGCATCTTAAAGTTGAAGAAATAGAGACTTTTGCTACAAGACAGTTGATAATTTTATTGAATCTCAGATTCCTGATGCGAAAATAAATGGTTCTAATCATTTAAGGAAATACACTTTCACTAGTCTCGGTGAAGAAGAAAAGCTTTGGCCTGTTTCGGGTCTTACAAAAAGCTGAATGAGTTACTTTTGTTAAGTGAACTTAGTGATGACCACTGCAGACTGGTCCACATAAAAGTCCCTAATGCAATAGTGCACAACTAGAGTTTCCCCAAAAGCCTCACCATATTTGGGAAAAAGAGTGAGTGCCTTAAATTAACTGGGCACAATTCATATTCATTAAGGAAATAAATGGCAGTTAATGCATGGTTTTGCTAATTTAAAAGATTGCTATTTTCTCATTATCATCAATAGGATTATCTTTAATTTTCTCACCTGAGTTTTGTTGTTTTTTTTCTCAATGAAGTGTAATGGATTAGATAAACATTCCATCTACCATAGTGTAAGCAGACAGGTGACAGAGTGTACAACGAAGAGGGAAAGGGACTGTTACGGATTGAGTTGTGATTGTGTCCCCCACAGCTACGCTAAAATCTTAAAACCTGATATTGCAAAGTGACCTTGTTTGAAAACAGGGTCTTTGAAGATGTTGTTTGCTAAGTCAACATGAGGTCAAACCAAAGAAGGGTGGATCCTACCTAATCCAGAGTGGTGTCCTTATAAAAGGGAAGAATGTACGTACAAACAGAGACAGAGCTAATACAGTAGTGTGAAGATGGAGGCAGAGATTGGAGAGGGATGATGCATCTACAAGCCAAGAACACCAGAAATTGCCAGAAACTACCAGAAGCTAGGAAGATACAAGGAAGGATCTTCCCCAGAGCCTTAAGTGGAACATGGCCCTGCAAACACCTTGGATTCAGACTTTTACCTTCTAGCAATGTAAGACACTAAATATCTATTGTTTAAGCCACTTATTCTATAGTAAGGAGCTCTGGTAGCATGGTGGTTACAAGTTGGGCTGTTATTCTCACAGTCAGCAGTTTGAAACTACCAGCAGTTCCAGAGGAGAAAGATGAGGCTCTCTGATTCCGTAAAGATTTACAGCCTCAGAAACCTTATAAAGGGTCGCTATGAGTCGGAACCAACTCCACAGCACACCACCACCACCACTCTGTAGTACTTTGTTGTAGCAGCCAAGGAATTAAACACAGGGACATATCCACAAGGATACTTGCATGGGTCATTCGGGCCACACTGAAGAAAAAGACAAATCACTGATTAAGTTAATGTCTTGTTCTTTACCCCATTAAATTATTATGAATTTTCTTAACATAGTTGAACTCGATACAATGTGGAATCATCAAATGATAAAAAGAATTATCTTTCACAGGATGTGGTTAAAACTACATGGTTAGCAAGAAGTGACTAGCTTACAAGCTTTCAAGAGGGAGCCTAGATCCAGAGGGAACGGAGGAAGGTAGAATCTCTACTGAGTAGTATCCAATCTGTCTGGGCAGGGCTGATGATAGGAGATGCGGATAGGTCTCTTGTGATGCAATAGTGAATAATTGTTATCAGCACTGATTGTGAAGGCTGGAAATGCAAAGATAGATGTTTTGTAGCAAAAGGAGGGGAGTGACTGAATTTGTGGTTTAGGAGCGGAGGTCCCTGGGACTATCAAGGGAGAAGAGCAGAGAGCGGGACCCTACCCAGAGAAGCAATGACGACAGAGATGGAGGCAGAGATGATGACATGGAGAGATGGAGCGGCTGGGGACTTCAGACCCAGAGAAGGAAAGGGGCTGTGTGCTGATGACCGGGATGCAGGCTTACAGGGTATATATATACCCTTTGGAGGGGATTGTAACAATGGCAATGAAATGATATACAATAGGATGAATGTGAAGCTAATATTCTCCCATGTAAACTATCACAGAATTCACAATAAAACATTGAAAACAAAAAACTACATGATTACGCTTTCACTTCTACCAGGGAGTTTCAAGTTTGTGGAAAAACTCCATTATTTTTCCAAGAACTTTTGAAGCGTCCCCTCCGCACTCCCCCCCCCCCCCATATGAGAGAACCAACTGAATCAACTTATTTGAATACAGACTTGCCAGGTTATATCCTCTAAGCACAGAAGAAACAAATAGCATGTACATTTGGGGGGGTTGGATGGGGAGGGGTTGAGAAAATGGTAGTGAAATTCCATTTTTTGCTAGGAAATGCCTGCTAGCAATTCCAGCATACTTACTGGTTTATCTGTGTTTGCTAAAACACAGCTCTTTGGACCTTGGGGTAAAGGGATTGTATTTTTAAAGTATACTGCAAAAGGGAGAAAAGTGTGGAGATGTCAGGGAAGGGTCAATGGAAAAGGCATTACAAGCCAGTTGAACTTTTGAGGTCAAGAACTACCCTTGGACGACTGTCCTGAAATCCAAGCAATGAACATTTCAGCCACACGAAAACAATAGAGTATCTTAGTGGTTCCTTTTAAGATGATAGTAATAACGAAACGCCGTCACGAGGTATGGGTTCTTCCAACAGTTTCACAAGAATGAATTAACTGGGTCACATATCAAACAAGTAGATGCAATTAAAAGTAAAGAAGTCTCTTAATCATTCTTTCAAGTGTTAGCCAGGCACTTGAGAAGTTGAAGCATCACAAGAAAACCAATTGCTTTCACTGACCTTAGAAAATTTCTTCCAACTATTAAGACTGCACAGCAGCTAAGTAAACAGAGCCGTCAACAGCCATGTTGAGGCCAGCCAGAGCCAAACCCAGGTGCCTGCTCCTCGGAAACCCTAAACAGCGTCACTATGAGTCAGAACTGACTCAGTGACACTTAACAACAACAAGGTCCATTTCAGGCGTTTCCTGCATGGCACATGTGGTTAAGCACTAACTGACTACTAACCAAAAATCTGGTGGCTCAAACCCACCCTAAAGTGGCTTGGAAGAAGAGGTCTGGCAATCTGATTCTGAAAAGTCACAGTCTTGAAAACCCTGCAGAGTGTGGTTCACGTCTGTAACACCATTGACTTACGGCTGCCTATTTGGAGTGAGAAATAAGACTACCAGCCTTCTACTTAGGTGTTTTAAGTCAAAGCAAGAACTTTGCTTTAATGATTTCATTGGTGGAAGTGTTCGCGGTCAGCCATACCCCTAAAGATCCTATAGTCTTTTATTTCCCCAACAGCACTACGCCAGACGAGTCTCTTCAAGATGACTCTCAGGTGTTTCTGCTCATTAGTTTAATCCAATAATTGATTTCAACTTTCCTTCTCCCCTGAGGAAACAGCGGGGATGGCCGTATGATAAATTTCTGGCCAATGAGAAGCTTTTGCTTTCCTGGTCAAAGAAATGGTTGATGCTGGACCTCTGCCATATTTTTCTTGCCTTGGAGACTGGGACTGCCCTGGAGGATGGCAGCCATTTTATGAATATGAGGCACTAGTATGAAAGCCAGCTTGCTTTTTCAGATGGGTGAGGCAATCAAGGAAAATGTCTGGAGTCCTTGAGGGCATCTTTTATTAGCTTAATAAATCCCAACAATCACCTACCTCTGGACTGCTTGTTTTGTGAAGAAAATAAGCCCCTGTTTGTTTCAGCCACTGTTAAATGGGTTTTCTGTTACTTATGGCTGGAAAAGGAGTCCTGTGTGGCGCTGTGGGATAAGCACTCGACTGCAAGGTTGCTTTGAACTGCAAGGTTGGCGGTTCAAACCCACCAGTCACTCCTTGAAAACCCTATACAGGATTACTGAGTTGGACTGACTTGACAGAACTTAACAACAATACAACAACAATGGCTGGAAACATTCTTAACTGATACCGCCTCCTATTTCTTTTATTCTTGCTCTAGCGGAATACATTTTCATCCTAACTAGAGTAGCTTAAGTGGTTACAAATCGGGCTGCAAACCTCAGAGTCAGCAGTTCGAAACTACCAGCTGTTCCGCAGGAGAAAGATGAGGCTTTCTGCTCCCGTAAAGATTCACAGCCTCAGAAATCCTGTGCAGGGTCGCTATGAGTCAGAACCTACTCCAAGGCAAATAGCAGCAGCAGCAGTTACACTCCGGTGTCTGTTTAAAACATAACTAACTTAAAACCTTTTTAAAGATTATTAAAGAATTTGCTTTTTAAGCAATAATAAATCAAAGTGTAAAAAACAAACAACCCCCCCACAACAACCAAAAACACACACAAAAAATCCTGTTGCTGTCAAGTTGATTTTGACTCACATAGTCAAAATCACACATAGTGATCCTATACGGCAGAATAGAACCACTTCATGGGGTTTCCAAGGCTGTAAATCTTTATTTATACAGATTGCCATATCTATCTCCCATGGTGGAGTCAACAAACTGACCTTTCAGTCAGCAGCCGAGCACTTAACCACAATGCCATCAAGGCTACTTTGTTTAAATAATAGCAGACGACAATTGTTTAAGTAACAGAAACACAGAAAAGCACACAGCTTAGTAACTGTTTATATATCAGTCCCAAAGCCACAAAACAACCTGGAATATAGGTATTATTTAAATTTTTTTTTTGTTTATAATTTTTATTCCCATATTCTTTAATATTTATTTCTTTATTTAAGTAGATGTAAACTTATACTTAATAGTTTTTCTTCAATTCTTTTAGTGAAAATAAAAACTTTAGTGATGACCACT